TAATCTCACTCCCTCAAAATGTGTTTACCCATTGGTATAATTGCAACTGGTGTATAAAAGTGTTACCAAGAATAATGTATAAAGATGTCATTCTTTCAGTAAAATGGAGCTTCAGGAAACTTGATTAATGAATAATACAGCTCATTAAGTAAAAACTCCAGCTGAGACAGATTATTGGTGAAAAATGTTTAATAGCAAACTAATCCTCAAAAAACCCACAACTTGATTTCTAAGAAGCCAGCAGCTTCACAAAGAAGTAAAAGGTCTTAAACATTGACTTTTGTCCTACGATTATGTGTTTTGCCATGAAGCCTTCAACTCATGGATCGTGGAGAAGACATGGCTGGAAACCCGCAGGAAAAGTGACAGTGTCATTGTAAAGCATCAGATATTTTTGAACTACATTTTCAGAAATAAAAATGAGCCTTTTTTTTTTTGGATGGGGGATCCCTAATTAATCAGAAAGCCCCACTTTGCAGTTTCACTGCTGTGAGGAGTTTTTGTGTCTAGGTCATGGAAGAGTAAAATTCAAGGTGAAATTTCCCTTAAGACTCTTCCTCTGTGGGTAACCTCCTTTTTTTCTGGTCCTTTCCTGCTGTGCCCTGCTGTCTTTTCCTTTAGTACTGCCCTTCTCTCTCTGATTCCCTTCTGCCTCTGATTTTGTGCAAGTTACCCGAAAGTGCTTATTTCCTGAAAACCTATGTTCAAGTATGCTTTTAAAGAGATATTGCTGAGTTCTGGGTTAGATTTACAAACGCAGTAGTTGAAACAGCCAGATAGTTCTGTGTTTTGGAATGGAAAATATTTTTGCTCTTCAATAATGATACTGCATGAGAACTATTATTTTTTTTTCATTTGTTTTCCATTAGCGTGAACACTTAGGGATTTACTTAGGGTTTCATTGTTTATGGTAAAGCACATTTTCAGGAGGATTGGAGCAGACAAGAGGAAATGTGAAGATGGAAAAGAAATGCTACAGAATGCATGAGGAAAATACTGAAAAAAATAGAAACAGCTGTCTGCAAGACTTTTTAAATGCTTGAGTAAATATGCACAGCTGTTAAATATCAACTGGATAGGACAAGGGGCAGTGGCTTTAAACTGAAAGAAGGTAGATTTAGATTAGATACTAGGAAAAAGTTCTTTACTGTGAGACTGGTGAGGCACTTTCACAGGTTGCCCAGAGAAGCTGTGGCTGCCTCATCCCTGGCAGTGTTCAAGGCCAGGCTGGATGGGGCTTTGAGCAACCTGGTCTAGTGGAAGGTGTCTCTGCCCATGGCAGGGGGTTGGAACTGGATGAGCTTTAAGGTCCCTTCTGTGGTTCCATGATATAAAAGCAGAAATAAATTGAAAGGAAAAAAAAATTAATATTAACCAAAAAAAAGACAACCACATGCATGCTTTAAAAATTACATTGAATCAATATCCTGGGAAAAAGGTAGTGAATTTTCAAGAAGTCAGTTTTTTCACTGAATGTTGGTGGCTAGAATGCATCTTGGCTTCTTGGAATTGCTTTAGTGAAAGCCTATAGCAGGAAAGGATTTTGTCTTTCCTTTCTTCATTTAGAGTGTATTTAATAGATTATGTATAGGTTCAACATTTGCGAAGGACTGATTAGTAAATTCATATGCAGTCAGTATTTTCTTCTGCTAGAGGACAGTGTTATTTAGCTGGTAAGTTCTCACTCTGGGCTTCATCTCCAGACACTGAGTTCATTCAGGCAAAGGGACCTCTGTATGCCTGCTAACCATAACAGAGACAGGAGTGTACAATCTGCTTTTGTGCTGGCTTTGGTACTGATTTCTTCTGTGATTTTAGTTAAGCCACTAAGGTTGGGTGTCAGATATGAATGGTGATACTTAATTCAGAAGTCTGAATATTTTATGTAGGGGTCCATCTAGGATGCTAGAAAGCAAAGAGCTTCATTCACAAATGTGGACCAAATAAAATTAGACAGAAACGGAGGTATCTTTCATAGCCCAGCACCCCTGATCCTTGCAGCAATTATAACTCAGCTGACTGGGGCAGCTGCTGATGTACCCTATGGAAATTGGATACAATTGCTGATTTCCTTAATATTTGTCAGTGTGCATATAATATCCTGATCCATTCCAGCGGCAGGGGTGAGGACCCACGAGCCAGGAAGCAGCAAACACAGGAATCCCTGGAGAAACCCCAGGGCAGGATGAGTCCAGGTTCTTCTATTCAGGCACTGAATTTGGAAAAAAACTGGCCTGCTTATCGTGTATCTTAGTGCACTTACCCGTGAAAAAAGGAGAATAATCTCTGTAATGTGTGAAGTGCTTTGAAGTCTTTTCTGAGCTGGAGGGTCAGACCATTTAGAGCCTTTTCCTGTGATGGCTTTCTGATACTTAAACAAGCAGCAGTCAGTCAGAAGAATCAATTTGTTGCTTCTATGAGGGCCATAATTCATCCTCCCTGATTGAAATGATCAGGGATGCAGAGGCGGCTCTTTGCTTCTGAGTAAACACTCCTTTTATGTTCCTTTAGCACAAATACCTGACACTAAGCAGGGATGCATAAAAGGAAGTCAGGCTGCAGGCTTTTACTTGAAGTAGGTGTTTTGTGATGGATTAATGGCAAATCATGATACATTATTTATTAGATAATAAGTGTGATAATTGTTCTTATTTATCATGAGTCTAGCTCAGCTCGTTCTCCTGTCATTCCTTCAGTCAAGCTGCCCCTGGGGATTCGCCAGATAAAAAATAGTCCAAAGGTCATTCCAACAATTTTTACTCATAATAGCATGCTGATTACCTCCTAATTGAAAAGTGTAAACTACAGACACTGTAAGTAATGCAAGTGACCCCTGTCTTCATGGCATAATATGGAGAGTCCCTGTGTGTCTCACAGCCAGCCACAGAGAACAGCATCCCCTTCCTGTACTACTCAAGTCTCCAAAATGAATTAGGAAGAAAGTTCTGTTACCATTACAGGGGAAAAAGCAAAAACTTTCTCCATAGCAAGAACATGATGTTGATGTGTAGATAACATGTTACGGAAGCAATGCAGATGTGATTTGGGCTCAATTCTGGGGTGCAAAGTAGCACAGCCTTTTGGGTATCTGTCAAAACCCATCTGTTCTTGTTCAGAAGGTGTGAAGAAAGTGTTTCAATTTTTGCTACCTCTGTTTATACTTCTTGTTGCGAGGTACTGCAAAGAGTCCACATGCCGAATATGTTCGTAATTGTAGGAGTAGAAGAAAAAAGTGGCATCTATGTCAAATATCTTCAAAAACTAATTTGCCAAAAAGCACAGATGTCATGATGCAGGAAACTCACTGGTTTATTCTCTTATCTCCCTAAGGTGTTCTGGAGGTATTGTCTTGATGGAAAACCTTAAGATACTGTGGATGACCAAATGCAGTATGAACAGTACTTGGCTCCACAATTTCTCTTTAAAGCCCATACCAACTCTGCACCATCATTTTCTACTAAATCATGCTTTTTCCCGAATTATTATCATGCATTCTACTTCTCACACTTCCCTCTGATTGTCAGTCCCACAGTTCTTGGGATTCTTCTGGCTAGAGTCTGAAACATCAAGTTTTTACGTTGCAGCTGCATAATGTTTGGCATATAGCCTCTCTCAACCTCCCAGATAAAATTCATATAAAAAAGAGTGTAAAAGACTTGTCTAGGTCTGTAGTTTCTATCAGCACAAAAGGAATGCCGAAGTGCAGAAAGCTTTTCTGAGCAGCAGATAGAGCAGCACATCTGTGATTCGCCTTCTACGGTGTTCCCTTTGGAAATACTTTCCAGCTGCTGGCTGGCAGTGACTTCACTGAGCTAATAATTTCACATTCTCACACCAAAATGGTTTCCTCTGGGTTTATTCTTGGAAATCTGGGAGATGTTCTGAGCCTACTGAGACTCAGGAGTATCAGAAGCCACCCAGTGCCAGAGCATGGCCATCCACAGGGCACTAACCACATGCTGTTTTTCTTGAAACAAGGCTCCTGAGATCCACTATTAGGACACTGTATGCCTATTGTATTCTCCTTGGGTTATTCATCTTCCCCCTTCTAAAATATAAGAAGAACTTCAAGTTACCCAGAGTAGAGAGAATAATGCATAAAGCAACGACTCTTGTTTCTATTTAAAATAGGCCTGAATAACTGTTGTGGATAAACGGCACAGAAAAGCTGTTCCACATGGTGGGCTTTTTTATTACAGTTTGTAAGCAATGCTTTGTACACCACAGATCATATCTGGGTGGAAAAAATTTTATTAGCTTTATGCATGTACAAGACAACTGTTTACATTTGAGTTAGTCAGCTTGCTTTTCCCAAGAGAAATACATGTTCTTCACCTTATTTCCTTCAGATGCCTGAATGAGGTTAATTGTGCCCTAGAAGTGCCACTTTTATTTTCATTGATTATTAAAGGAGCCTTGACAATCAAGTCAGATAGAGATGTTTAAATCTGATCAGATGAATTCCAATTTCTAGTCCAGAGTAAGCACATCCCACAAGGAAATGAGAATGAAATTTAGTCCACTATAAAATTCATACTTTCCTACTAAAAAACCCCTAACAATATTCTTTGAATACAAGGAACTCTTATTTGCAGCTGTGTAGGTTGTTCAAGCTACACTTCCACATTAGTAATGCAGTTTAGTCCTTTAAACCAACAGTTTCTTTTTTTTTTCAGAACCTTATATAGATGTTAAAAAATCAACAACAAAAAAGAAAAAAAAAGGAAGGAAAAGAAAAAAGGAGTACAAGATAAAAAAAAATTGTTGATGGAACCCAGTCTGGGTAATAGCTTCCAGGTGTGGTCACAACCATAAATGGTCAGGTCAAGATTAGCAGCCATTTTCTTCTGAGAAGCAGTATGTGATCTTGTGTGCTCATAGTTCATTGCAAAGTGAAAATAGGTAAGCCTAAAGACAGAGATTCCTGACATCATTAAAAAGCATTATCTTGGAATGTATTTTAACATGATTCTCTGTATGTGGTCATGTTGGAAACATGCCTGTTATAAATTGCTGCCTTTTAGCTGAGATTTGTAGCTCCCAGGGAAAGTATGGTAATTTCCATGGAATGTGTTGGTGTAAATCTTTGCAGTGGTGTGCTTTATCCTCAGGTTCCTCAGAGTGGGATACTTTCTGATAGGGGGGGCACAAAGTTGCACTGCTTTGAATTTAAATAGAAACTGTGTCTTAGTTGTTTGTTTTTTTTTTTAATGAACCAAAAAGTTACAGGGATTTTATCAACAGATAGGCTGTGAAGCAGAAAAGAGGACTTTTGACAAAGTGAGTGCAAGTTCATATCTTAGCATCTTTCTGGCCTAGTAAAGAGATCCTGCAGGTACTTTAGCTGATGTCAAATCTGTTTTAGCAATGAAGCTCCTGTTTACAACTAATCCTTCTAGGAATGTGGGTCTGTCTTGTTGACTTTTAGTTTATATTAGGATGAGAGAGCATAACACTTGTTAACCTTAATGCTCTTTTTCCTGATCGGTGGCCGTGAAACTACTCAAGAATCTTGCAGGCTTACATCAGCAGAAATCAGGCTCCAAGATCAATACTTTTTACTTCAGAAAATCAAAGCATCTATTTATATTGTTTATCTTGCAATGAATAGCTGAAGCAGGTATCTAGAAACTTTGTATTTGATGTGTCTTAAAACTTAATCTATTTCACTTTTTTTTAAAGGATTTTTTAAGTATGCTTATCAGTATATACAGAAATAATTTGCTGCATATGTGACTGTAATTTAAATCAGCACTTATTATCTGCATATATGTTATTACTTTAATGTTTTTATGTTAATACAACACACCCTTGTTCTTCATTACCAAGCAGTAATGGGCCTTTAATGAAAAAGGAAAAGGTCTGGGACATAACCCTGCAAGAAGCCCCTGGCCTGTGGGCAGAGCTCTGTAAATTGTTACAGCTCCATTGCCTTCAATGGCTAGAGGTTAATGCCTCCCACAGCTAAAGGCGATCTGCATGCTGTGAGATACACCATGAGCTTTTTTCCAGTGGCTTATCCTCTGCAATGAATGTAATAGCAGCCTGAAGGACCACATCCAGCTGGCCTAAATTTGTTTGTGCCTGCTCAGTCATTGCCTGTCTGAGCTTGGATGACCCATCAGCCCCTTATGGTGAAGGTATGTTAGTGGTTTGTACCAGAAAGCAGGGAATTGTAGCTGCCTGCTGCTGGATTCACTGGAAGCAGCCAGTGGTGTGAATCCAGGGCCTGACTTGGAATCATGCTTCAGGAGTTCTTGTGAGGTGCTTTTGCTAGTCTATGTTTATGTTTTCCTTGGTAGGTATTACTGCAGTGGTATTGACTGGTGTAATCGCAATCTATCTATAACTGGAAAAGTACAATTTCTAAAAGGAATGTGACTCGGTGAAAAAATTATGCAGAATATGAAAAGGGCATGCAACGATTTGTTAAGGTGTAAATATTGCCTGGTGCTCTCTGCTGAGCAGTGGCATGTAATAGCACTGGTAGGATCCCTTGAGGCTTCAGAAAAAATGGATTATTACTGGATAATGCCTTATATTGCTGAGCTGATCCAAGTTCAAAGGCATGCGCTTCTACTTTGTGGCTCTTGAAAAGCTAATGATATCTCTCTGAAAGAATTATGTGAACAGAGAGATGTATTAATGCAAGCTGGAAATATAAGGAACAATGCCTTCTCAAAGGCAGATGTGTTGCTAATTCATTTGTTACCGGGCTGCACTTACATGTGATAGCTCATCTCTGGTCTCATAGTGAGAGTGAGCACAAATGTTATGTGTTACAGACCCAGACAGCTGTAGGCACTCGGAACATCTGGAACCTTTATTTTTCCTTTGTCTTGGAAGTATTAAAGGTAATGTAAATGTGACCTGCAAACCTGTGTCTAATGGTTTTAAAATTGTCTCTCAGACCGATTTGCCCTTTCTATTGTTTGTCTTTGAATTGTGTGGCTGTGCAGAAAACTCTCCAGATCCCGTGTCCTGTGAAGAGGGTTGGCTTCTGCTTTTTATGGGTAGTCTCAGAGAAGAAGGCAAGAGGGAGCTGGAAAAAGGACTTGAGCTAATGCAGGTATGGGCACAGCTGTACAGAGAGTGTAAAGGGATGCACAGTAATGCTACTGAGAATCGACTGCTTTGTTTATAGAAAGATATTTTCTTCTATTTTTTTTTTTTAAGGGGCAACCTCTGATCCCATTTACTTGCTTTTTATGTGTGTTTTCAGAAACACATTCTCAGAGTATAATTTAGTGTATTTACAATACACCATTCAAACTAGAGCAGCATAAATGCATGATGTGACTGCAAGTTACCACACTGTTTATCTTGATATGTCTGCAACTTTTAGAAAACCCAGGGACCGGTGAGCATCAGGCAGATCATTTGGCATTGTGAGCTCTTGTTTTGCATGACAGAGATTTTTCTGAGGATCAGGAGGAATTTCTAAGCAAAGTTTGTTGTTTGAGCACATACAGTTCTGGGTCTTCAGAGTGTCCTTTTAAGCTTCTCTTGCTCTCAACTCCAAATCCTGCTTGAAGTCCTTGGAGGCTACCGCCAAAGGGTGGTTGGGATTTCGAGCCAACCTGTTTCATCCTAATGCTAATCAGTCTTGCCTCTTCACAGTGAGTTAGGTGTACGTATCTTTGTGAAAATGAGCGTTGTTTGATAACTGTGACTTGAAACAAAAATGAGTCTCTCTAAGGCACAGTTTTTAGTTTACAAATAAGTATCTGTGGTCAAATTTTGGTGTCTTTCTGCATAATATTGGGAGGGCTGGATTGTTCTGCAGCCATTCTCTTGGGTAGGATCATTGCTAGACACAGGTTCTTATACTGGAGAGGTTGTTGCTTTATACCTGTTAGAGGGAGAGGGCTGTCCCTTCCCTAGTGCAGTTTGCACTATTTTTTTTTTTCTTTCCTGTTCTCCTAATAGCAACAAAAGTCCAATTCCATCAAAGCTGGTGTGAAAGGATCTGACTAGACGTCTGATAACGAATTCAGTGGTCCCAGGATTACATTCCTGGTTGGCACTTACTTTAAGGTGGTGTTGCATCATGTTTGACATTGTTGTAGATGTATCAGAGAAATTGCTAGGAAGTTTCTCAAGTTGGTTTTAGTAGTGCAGAAAGGCAGAAGAAAACGTAAATTTTCTGTATTTAATGAGAAATCTGGCAGTGAGGGAGAACCTTCTGAGATTGCATCTTAGTGCTGTATAGTCTGCTGGTAAAATGGGACTATAGTTGTTAGACATAGCATGATGAAAACACTGATAGGAAGCAACAGAGGGAAGGTGTCCTGATTTGACAGTAGAGAAACATTGTCAAATAGAAAGAAGCTAAACCAAACTTCCTATTAGCACTTTTCTGCCAGTCTTGGTGAGGAAGGGTTTCTTTCTTTTTCAAAGCAAAATCACATGCATACAGGCCGAATAATGAAGACGATGAGCAGTCCTCAGCTGTACAAGGAAAAATTATCTTATGCTGTGTTGTATGCAAGTGGATTTGTGCTTTTTGATGATGCACTCTACCAATCTAACTATTAAAGTAGTAGCACTTAAGTCTGGGTGAAGTCCGTTCCCCTGCAGCCATCCTTATGGAAGCTGGGACTCCTTGCTTTGTCATAAGGATCAGTCACTGCACTTGCTTTTTTGTTGGCTTGATTTCTCAGTGGTATCTGTGTCTCTGCGTATAACTGGTTTGTAGAAACAGGTTCCTGTGCTTATCCCAAAATGATATGGCTTCAACCTATGCTCTCTTTTGCAGTGTATGTATGTTGGAAAAAATCTCTGCAGATCTAGTGAGAAATTCAGTGGAGTAGGGAGTGTGGGAACTTAAGTTATTCTTTTTGTATAAGCTTAGTAATGATCAGTAGTGCCACGAAGGGATTGAATTACCTTCAAGTACCAGACAGCTTCAAATTTTGATAGTGGTGTAGATCGTGATAGTGGTATTTTTCTAGATTCTACAGTGTTCAATTTCAGATGCTTGCTTGCTATCTCAGGAACTTGATGCGTGTGGCAGAAGAGTCTCAAAGTTTCTGGAAGCCAATGCCACAGATTATTGTGGGTTTTGGCACAAACCTCCAACAATTACTAGAATAAAGGGGAGAGAATTTGAGCAAAGAAGTGTACCTGCCTCTCATGAAGAGTACAGTGATCTGCATTGAGAAATATAAGAAACACTAAATTCTTCATGCTTCTGCATGAAATGTGCATAAAAAAAGACAAAGTCTTGGCGGATATATGTATTAAATACACAAATGCAGACACATATGGCTTACAGTATCAAAGTTCCATTATTACTTTCATAACCAATGGGGCATGTTTCTCTGCACTTCTTAAAGTTTTAAAAACTTTTAGTATTTTGGCCTTTGATCTTAAAGCCTTAAACTGCCTATGTTGGAGGATATTTTCTTTTCCTGATATTTTCTTTTCCTGTAAAACCAAAAGGGACTAATTTACCAAAGATAACACTGAAGGCTTACATTTACATAGTGTGCCCTTTCTTCCACAAGATGCTGGTCCCTGGGATTGGATTATGACTATCTGCTGGCTGTAATGGGAACTTCTGGCACATAGCAGCTGGTCAGCCATGCTCACTGGCAGACGTTTCTAGTCAGAACTTAATTCTGTATCTTCTAGTTCAGAATGAAAAAGGTTCTTACTATACCCAAACCTGGAAAAAAACCCCAACTGTATTGAGATCATAAAAGGAATATAGGGATAGGTAGCATGCAACTACTTAGCTGGTATTGGGCTGAGTTTTGGCTCTGTAAGTACCAGTAGCCTATTGACATCATAAGCTTTTATTGTGAGCTATGTCTGTGTATATGTCTGTGTACATGCTTCCCATATAAGCCAAGTCTCTTGTGCTGTGGTCTCCCGTCCCGTCCCCCCCCTCCAGTCCTTTCATACATAAACTGCCTTGGGCTTTGACACTAACCGCAGCACAAGTTAATCAAATTCCAAGAAGTTTTGCCTTCTGTGTGCTGTTTCACTTCAGAGCAAGATTTGGGATGTGGAGACTCATGGCACGTACGCTGTTTCAGGAAAAGAATGGGGAAAACCAGGACAGACTGATAAGTGACCCAGCTAACCTCTCTCCCTGTACACACACTAGCTTTTTTCTTCAATAAAGTCTCTTTCAAAGCAATCTCACTTTTTCATCAAAGAGCTTTCCAGTGCACTCCCAATGGGTTTACATAAATCTCACTGTTCTGGCTCTTTTTTTTTTTTCTATTGCAACCCCCCCCCCCCAAGTCCTTGTGTTTCCATTTCTTTAAATC